CAACCCTTCCTGCCCTCCCTCTCCTGATCTGCCTGAGTTCACAAAATTAGCATTGCTGTCAGATGGCCATCCAGCCTCTGCTTAAAACCTCCAAAGAAGGAAAGCCCACCACCTCCCGAGGAAGCTTGCTCTACTGAGGAACTGCTTTAACCTGAAGAAGAAGAAGAGATTGGATTTATACCCCGCCCTTCACTCGGAGTCTCAGAGCGGCTTACAAACTCCTTCCCCTTCCCCTTCCCACAACAGACACCCTATGAGGTAGGTGGGGCTGAGAGAGCTCTTTCCAGAACTGTCCTTTCAAGGACAGCTCTTATCAAAACTATGGCTTGCCCAAGGTCATCCTGCAGGTGCAAGTGGAGGAGTGGGGAATCCAACCTGGTTCTCCCAGATTAGAGTCCGTGCACTTAACCACTACACCAAACTGGCTCTCCTGCCAGGAGGTTCTTCCTAATGTTTAGCCAAAAACTCTTCTGATGTAATTTCAACCCATTAGTTCTGGTCCGACCTTCCGGGGCAACCGAAAACAACTCCCGTACCATCCTCTATACGACAGCCCTTCAAGAAGCCCCCGGGGAGCCCCCAACCCTAAACCCCCTCCTTCTTGGCAATTCAGCTCGGTTTCCGAAGGTGGCTGGTCCCACCCCCTTCGCCCGGTCAGAGAAAGCACCTCGGACAAAGTTCTCTGCCTCTTCGATGGCATTAATCTGAGGATTACTGGGATTAAATTAGCCACGCCACGATAAACCTGTTAGTTGTCAAGGTGCCAAGAAAGCCCCTACTGTGACAGACTGAGGACCCAGTTCACACATTCAGGGGAACGAGGTGGTAGAATGGACCACCACCACCCGCTGCCCCCCCCTTTAAATAAATGCAAAACCTGCCCAGGAACCATTCTGCAAATGGCTTTCACAGCCCCCCCCCCCAGTCATTTGGGGATCAGCTTTCCTGGTAATTTAAAAGCTTTGTGGAGCATGAAGGAGCCTCGGGAGTTAGCAAACTAAATGCCGAGGCCAGGAAGGACAGCAAAGTGAGCAGAGACGTAACTAGCCGAAGAGCACAGCACAGGGCTCAAGGACAATTGATCTAGGATAGATGGTGGTGAACATGTGTCACAAAAACCTTGGGTGAAAACTGTATGCCACATGAGTTATATGCATATCAGCTTCTGTTTGTTACCTGTGTCTAATTCTCAGTTTAGTTCCTGGCAGCAGACAGGCCCATGTGGAAGAGATCCCTTCACTTTTGGGAAACCCTGTTTCCAACAAAGGCTCCCCTCCCCCGTCATTCTGCATTGCCGTGTGGTTGAGGCTGCTCCCGTGAGAAACTGAGGCCAAGACGGCGTCAGTAACCCGATCAGAAACAGAGGTAGGGGATGGCTTTGAGTCCCCAAATCTGCCCCCCCCCCCAGCTCACCGTACCCTAGCAACACTTTAATAATCGAATCAAACCTGACTGCTAGATTTCACATTCGGCGTTTTCCCCGGCAAGAATCTTATCAGAGGTTCTTTGGGCGCAACCCTTCTTCTGAGCTCATTCAATGGGGTGGGCCTTCTTTTTTGGTGTCCCTGTGCATCAAAGACCACTGATGAATCTTTGCTGCACAAAGACCTGTAAAAAGCTATGGAGGTTCTGAATATACATAACATATACATAACATATACATTTCACAGGGCCATAGAAATCACTCCTTTGTTTCTAACAAGGTGGCACTTTTCGCATTAGCCACTAGGAAAGTCAAAGCGAAGGTGGTTCTCACGAAAGCAGCTAGACGAAACGTAATGTCCTGATGAGCCGTTGGTATTTCTTCAACCTGCCTGTGGATCTTTAGAGATGGATTTGTGGTTTTAAGTATTTATTATTTATTTATTTGATTGATATCCCTCCCTCCCTGCCAAGGCAGGCTCAGGGCGGCTTACATAAAATCTGACAAGTAAAACAACAATTATAAATATAGCTCTAAAAACAAGACTTAAAAGTGCTAGTATCAGTTTAAACGGTGATGACGAGGTAGTAATAGCAGCAGACATACTAAAAAAATACAGTCAGCGGTTGTTATCGCAGTTTGGCAAGGCATAGGCTATTGATGGTGGCACTGGGCACAGGGTCTTAGTTGTTGGATGCGGCTCTTTAACTAAAGGCCTGGTGGAAGAGCTCCGTTTTACGGGCCCTGCAGAACTGAAAAAGTTCCCAGCCGCAGGGCTCTAGCATCTTCTGGGAGCTCGTTCCACCAGTGTGGAGCTGCCACTGAAAAGGCCCTGGCCCTGGTTGCTGCTAGCCTGGCATCTTTAGGACCTGGTTTTGAGATCCCGACTGTAGTGTTCTCTGGGGAACATGTGGGGAAAGGCGGTCCCACAGGTAGGTAGGCCCCTGACGATTAAGGGCTTTAAAGGTAAGCACCAGCACCTTGAAGCAAATCTGGTACGCTATAGGCAGCCAGTGCAATGCTTTTAGCGCAGGCGGAATATGCTCCCACATGGGGAGGCCCAATAGCAGCCTCCCCATTGTATTCAAGGTAATCAGCATTTCTGAGTGTGAAAGTGAATATTCAAAGATGGACATTGTATTTTAAAATTTTAGTAAGTTTTAACTTGTAATGGCCTATCAGGTTCAGGGAAATTTCTCCTTCCTTCCTTCCTTCCTTCCTTCCTTCCTTCCTTCCTTCCTTCCTTCCTTCCTTCCTTCCTTCCTTCCTTCGTTCCTGTTCCCACCCTCATGGAGATCTGCTTGAAAGCATGTAAGGAACACTAAAGACGCTGCAGAAGTTAAAGGTGCGGCAAAGTAAATTTCCCAGTGGCTGAGAGAGGTGTTTAGTACCCTGCAAAGCTTCTCACACCTCCGATTCTTAAAAAGCAGAATTAAGCACATTTGCAGGGCAATCATTCAACTGAAGCCGAGGCACTTTTAAAGTTCCTGGCGGGCTGCTGTTCTTCAGGGCTGCCAGCAGCCAAGAGCAAGTTGAGATGAGTCCCAGCAACGCTGGCAGCTCCGTACCACCTGCTTGCCTTGGACACACGCAGCTGCGGGGCAGGAGGGGACGAGGGCCAAACATCTGTTTGTTGTCATGGCTATCGGCTAGGTCCAAGCGGTCCCACGCTCCTGGGCCATTTAAACGTCCCAATCCACCACTGAACTGAAGCACGGCACAGGGCCTTCCTGAGGACGCCCATTATGCTCGCAGTGTCGGCTGGAGCATCTTCTTGTTCCCTATCTGGCTTTATTCATGTCTTAATTCATTTTGACGTTTGGGATTGAAAAACCCAAATAGAACCTCCCCCAGCAGTAAACAGATATTTTTAAATTACGTAAACTGATAGTCTGTTGCCCTTTCATGCCGCCTGGAAACATGCTGCCTGCCACCTCATTCTGTCAACTGGAAGGGCTGGATCACCACAGATGGGTCCTTTCTCAGTGATAAAAGGCATATTTTCAGGGCATAAACCATGGCACAGAACCCCAGGAAGAGAAGAAGAAGAAGAGATTGGATTTATACCCCGCGCTTCACTACCCAAAGGAGTCTCAGAGCGACTTACAAACTCCTCTCCCTTCCCCTCCCCACAACAGACACCCTGTGAGGCAGGTGGGACTGAGAGAGCACTGACAGAAACTGCTCTTTTTCAAGGACAGCTCTTATCAGAACCTGTGGCTTGCCCAAGGTCATCCAGCAGGAGCAAGTGGAGGAGTGGGGAATCAAACCTGGTTCTCCAAGATTAGAGTCCGTGTACTTAACCACTACACCAAACTGGCTCACCAAGCTGACCTTATTACAAATAGGCTGGAACTCTTGGGTTTAAGGAGGCGTTCCAAATAAAACCATCCTTCCTTTCTCAATGCCAGAAATACCCTGTCAGTCCAGGAAAGCTGTGGGTGTGTGAAAGGGTAACTTGTTTAAGAAGAGGAGGAGGAGGAGATTGGCTTTCTACCCTGCCCTTCACTCGGAGTCTCAGAGCGGCTTACAAACTCCTTTCCCTTCCCCTCCTCACAACAGACACCCTGTGAGGTAGGTGGGACTGAGAGAGCTCTGACAGAAACTGCTCTTTTTTCAAGAACAGCTCTTATCAGAACTATGGCTTGCCCAAAGTCATCCAGCCAGGTGCAAGTGGAGGAGTGGGGAATCAAACCCGGTTCTCCCAGATTAGAGTCCGCGCACTTAACCACTACACTACACTGTATATTCTTTTCCAAACTCATGAATGATCAATAGACAGTTTGGTGTAGTGGTTAAGTGCGCGGACTCTAATCTGGGAGAGCCGGGTTTGATTCCCCACTCCTCCACTTGCACCTACTGATGTGACCTTGGGTCAGTCACAAGCTCTGGCACAGCTGTCCTTGGAAAAGAGCAGTTTCTGTCAGAGTTCTCTCAGCCCCACCCACCTCACAGGGTGTCTGTTGTGGGGAGGGGAAGGGAAAGGAGTTTGTAAGCCGCTCTGAGACTCCAAGTGAAGGGCGGGGTATAAATCCAATCTCTTCTCTTTTTCTTCTTCTTCTTCCCCAATTTTTGTGGAAAGGGGAACTCTTCATGGGGCTGTGATTTGTTTTCTTTCTTTCTTTCTTTGGTTATTTTAAAGGATACTGGGCTTAAATATTCTGAACGGGCACAGTTTCTCACAAAATGACACAGCACCTTGGTGGTGACTTTTCATGAGCATCGTTAGGAAATCAGGGGATCTGGCGCTGTCTCCAATTTCCCCCCACCCCTATTTTCTCCACATTCCTCAGGCACCAACCTATTTTCTTCTACGTTTCTAAAAACAGAAATGTTATGGTGCCAAAACATATGCAGGGCGATGCCAACAGCAGGCATTACAGGCACTCGCTTGCTTAATTTAAAAAGGTCACAGAATTCCTCTTGTACAGTGCAATATTTTAGTTGCTTTTCCCACCCACAGGTCTTTGAACACACATCCAGTCCTGGATAAACCCATCTGGAGACCACTGAGCCAAAACCACCAATGTGAACTCAACGGCAGCAAAAGCCACAAGACGTCAAATCACCAACTCACCTTTTTGCAGTCCTGGCAGAAGACAGCAGTGCTCCCCAGCAAGCCGAGCGTCTCTCCGCAGAGCAGGCACTGAGAAAGTCCGTTGCCCATCCTGTTCTTCCGCATGTTCTCCAGCCGCTCCACCAAACGCCTGCAAAGAGGAGACTCTGTTGAGAGGAAGCAAGGTCCAGATCCACTTTGGACTTTGATAGAAAGCCTAGATCTACCAGGGTCACTGGCTGGAACTTTTTCTAGCCAAAGGTCAGGTTTGGGCATCGCTCTGGAGAACAGCAGCTCCGCAGCTGTGGGTCTTTCTACATTCCCTGGATTGGTAAACCTGGGATACGATAGGCATGCCCCAGAAGGAATTTCCAGGCTGACCAAAAACGACATCGCTTTCCCACATGACAGCTGATCCCGGCACTCACCGCTTTATCATGGCTACAAAAGTATCCAGGCCCAAGAGTGGAGCTGGTCAGCGGCTCAGGGGAAACCTGGCTTTGAGGAGGAGGAGGGTCAAAAAGCAGCCTCTTTCACCTCAACTCTCTGCACTCCCAATACCCAAGAAGCAAACAGGCTCCATTGCAAAACTGCCCTGTGACACGGCGTCTTAATTCCCGTGCCACAGTGAGATGATTCTGGGACATGGCTGCTGAAATGCAGGAAAATACTGCCCCTCTCCAGGTAAGGCTGATGTTCCATTTCTGGGGAAGGGGGTAAAGTTTTGCACTGGGAGGGGGGGGGGGGGATGAGGGAGTCACCCTGTGAGAGAACCAAAAAGCCACCCCTGCTCCTGAAATCTCAGAACGGATTCCCCCCACCCCATCCCTACGTTCACTGCGCCATACAGGCTGTTGCTCCGTATGCCCTTTGCTTGTAACCCACACACAAGGCGACAAGCATTGCCTGGCAGGTCTGAAGAGAGAATTAATGGAGGGAAAGTTTAACACAACCCAGGAGGACGAAAAGAGGAGAGAAGTTCCCAACCACTCTGCCCGAGGGCACACCAATCTCCGTGCACCTCCTCAGACTCCTTGGTCTGGCTTCGCTCTACAAGCTTGGAAATTAAAAGCCTTCTAAATCTGCTGAGCCAAGTCGAAGGCTTTGGAGGAACGGCAAATTATACTGAATTGCCAGCCAGGGCGCCCGAAGATGCAGTTATTAATTTCTTCACTGTTGACATTGTGAGCGTTTCCATTTTGCTCATTTATGATGTTGGCTTTCCTGCTGTGCTGACTTTGACACCAATTTTATGCTACTGGTGCAAAAACTGGTCAGTATTATGAAAGTAACAAGCGCTGGACTAGCAAGGACCTGGGGGGGGTCTCATTCCCCCTCCACACTATATCCTCCTCCCGTTCCCTGAAAAACCCCATTAGCCTCTCCTCTTCTCCTGCTTCCTCACTTTCCCACCCAGAAGAAAAGAAGAGGAGATTGGATTTATACCCGCCCTTCACTACCCAAGGTAGTCTCAGAGCGGCTTACAAACTCCTTTCCCTTCCCCTCCCTACAACAGACACCCTGTGAGGTAGGTGGGGCTGAGAGATCTCTGACAGAAACTGCTCTTTTTCAAGAACAGCTCTTATCAGAACTATGGCTTGCCCAAGGTCATCCAGCAGGTGCAAGTGGAGGAGTGGGGAATCAAACCCGGTTCTCCCAGATTAGAGTCCGCGCACTTAACCACTATACCAAACTGGCTCTCAACACCAAACTGGCTCACCCACCAGCCAATCTACCTTTATCTGCCCTCCCCCTTTTCTTCAGCTTTCCCTCCCCCTGGCAGCCTCTCCCAGGAACACTACGGCCCAGTTACACAATGGGAGAACCCCCAAGGACTTGCAAGGGGTACCTCATGGTCAAAATAGATGAGTCCTGTGCGCTCCTGCAGGAAATGTCCCCTGCTCCCAACCATCAGTGGAACAGGTTGACTCTGACATCCCACATTGGGCCTGCACCCCAGTAGTGGTACCGGCCCGGGAGGGGATGGGTGTACCTCAGGCCTGTAGCCACGGTGGGGCATTTAGGGGAGGTGCCCCCTCACTTGTGACCCACGCCCCACAACTCCCACTGCCCCTGCCCTTACCTGCCGGCCGCACTTGTTTGCTTCTGCCACTACAGGAGAAGGAGAGCCGGCCTGCTGGTGCAATTAATACTCGGCAAGTATGCAGTCTCTGCTACAGTCGTGGGCGGGCGAGGCCTGCCACGACTGTAGCACACAGCACATACTCGCTGAGTATTAATCACACCTGTAGCGGCCAAGGCAAACAAGTGTGGCCGGCAGATAAGGAAAGACCTTTCTCTTCTTCGCCTGCCTGCCCATGGGATTTCTCTCTCTCTCTCTCTCTCTCTCTCTCTCTCTCCCCCCTCGCTCCCCCTCCCTGCCCCCCTAGATTTCCCACTCCCCCACCATCCAAAATTTTCTAGCTGCACCCCTGGTGTACCTTGCTAGCGGCAACAAAGTAGTTCTGAACGCAACCCGTGTGCAAAATGTTGATTTTCCAAAACCCCCCCCCCCCCCCTCGCTCCCCCTCCCTGCCCCCCTAGATTTCCCAGTGCCCCACCATCCAAAATTTTCTAGCTGCACCCCTGGTGTAACTCGCTAGCAGCAACAAAATAGTTCTGAACGCAACCCGTGTGCAAAATGTTGAATTTCCAATAGAAACAATGCAGACATGAAACTGGGTGCCATCCCTAAAGAGAATGCACCGGGAGCGCGAGCCACCAGAGGAGCAGAGGGGGTGAGTGTGGGGGTGCCAATAAGCTAAGAACGCCAGAAAGTGAGAAAGAGAAACCCCTTTGGATGGAATCTAGAAAATGGCAAGCCAGCACATAACTCCAGGCAAACCATTACAGAGAGATGAAGTGGGCAACGGTGCACGGACAGAATGCAGACATGAAACTGGGTGCCATCCCTAAACAGAAGCCACCAGAGGACCAGAGGGGGTGAGCGTGGGGGTGCCAATAAGCTAATAACGCTAGAAAGTGAGAAAAAGAAACCCCTTTGGATGGAATCTAGAAAATGGCAAGCCAGCACATAACTCCAGGCAAACCATTACAGAGAGATGAAGTGGGCAACGGTGCACGGACAGCTTGCCGCTCCAAGCTCTGTGTGGCTTCAATATTATCCTGCTCCCAGCTCTAGAACCGCTCAAACCTTGCTCGGTTTGGGTCGCACCTAATGGGCTGCAGCCACAAAGAAATCCCTCTTTCTAATGGAGTATTAAGGTGGCAGTTATCTTAGTTAACTCACAAGGAGACTCTGCACGCTGGAGGAGAAAGCCACAATTATGCGCTTCGGCTGAGGTTTCATAATGCACGGCTACCGTCATGCTCCCGATAGCAGAATCCATCTTCCGGGGACGGATCTGCCACAACCAGAGCTGGGTCACACTTTCTGCTGCCCTGACAGAATACGCAATTTGTTTTCCCGCTGCAGGCACCGTCGTTGTCTTATCGGCAAGAAGATGCAGACCTTGTCACATGCACAGACACCCCCATCAAGCAGGAGTGTCGAGGAAGGGGGGGAGGCTGCAACAGAAGACACGCACACACAGACGCACTCCCGTGAAGCTGCCTCACACTCAAGCAGACCCGGGGTCCCTCCAGCTCAGCACCGTCTACTCGGGCTGGCAGCCGCTCCCCAGAGTCTCACATGGAGGTCTTGCACATCACGCACTGTCAGATCGTTTCACTAGAGATGCCGGCGATTCAACTGGGGACCTTCTGCATGCCAAGCCGACGATCTTCCACTGAGCCACAGCCTGGGGGAGGGGGCGCTAATTAAATTAAATTAATTTAAACTGAGCTAATTAATATAGACTCAGTCTTTGTTATTAGTCTCTAGGGGGATCCGGGAGGGAGGGTGGCACAGCACGGCCCAACCTCGGAAGCCGAGACTCTGTGGGGGAAGCCAACGGCAAACCACCTCTGCTTCTCACTTTCCCGAGCGAGCCGCCCTGTCACGCACACCCCACCGCACACAACCGGACTCCAAGCCCTTGGCCGCCTGCCAGTGTAGACCACTCAAATGTAGGACGGGTCCAACCCAGGGACCGTATCCAGCCTCCCTGGACCCTGATCTCTTCATCAGCCACCTGCCAGTAAAGACTACAACTCCCAGGGATCACAGAGGTGGGCAGGTGCACCCTCGGCTCAGGGCCCACTCAGAGGAGCCAGCAGCACCACCCACCTGCCCGCCCGCCCCATGCAGCTGCTGCCCGTCCTCCAGCCGAGTCCCAGCCAGGCTGCCCTGTCAAGTCCTCGCTGCCCCCCCAGGAGTCTGGCCCAGCTGGCCTGAGCCTGAGGGCACAGAGGTGCCCTTGGTGGAGTGGGGGCATTGCAGTTTGGTGTAGTGGTTAAGTGTGCGGACTCTAATCTGGGAGAACCGGGAGAGCCAGTTTGGTGTAGTGGTTAAGTGCGCGGAATCTAATCTGGGAGAACCGCGTTTAGTTCCCCACTCCTCCATTTGCACCTGGTTGGATGACCTTGGGCAAGCCGTAGTTCTGTTAAGAGCTGTTCTTGAAAAAGAGCAATTTCTGTCAGAGCTCTCTCAGCCCCGCCTACCTCACAGGGTGTCTGTTGTGGGGAGGGGAAGGGGAAGGAGTTTGTAAGCCGCTCTGAGACTCCCTTGGGTAGTGGAGGGAGGGGCATAAATCCAATCTCCTCCTCTTCTTCTTCATCATCAAATGCAATAGGGGGCGCTGCCCCCAATGCCCCACCGCTGGCTACGGCCCCAGCCACAGCCCTTTCCCAGGCGGCCTGCAGAAGGCCCCAGGAACAAACCCCGGCGTCTGTGGTGGAAAGTAAAGGAGCTCAGAAAGACCCTGCTCCACCAGAGACCCTGAAGAGCAGGTGGAGGCTGGAGGAGGCCAGGACACGGTTTCAGACCACAAGGAGGCCCCCACCAGGCCCACCACCTCCCCATCCCGCTTGCAAAGACAGCAGTTGGTCCAAGAGGGAGGTCCGTACCTGAGTGCCACCGCCACTGTCCCCTGTCCTCGCCCCTTTGCGAAGAGGCGGCAGAGACTGGCAAGGAGGTGGTAGTGACCTCGGCGCTCACCCCACCCCACTAGGGTTGCCAGCCTCTAGGAGGGGCCTGGAGAGCTCCTGGAATTAGAACTGACCTCCAGGGTACAGAGATCAGCTCCCTTGCAGAAAATGGCTGCTTCAGAGGGTGGGCTCTGTGGTGGTATACGCCCACTAAGGTCCCGGCCCTCCTGAAACCCCGCCTCCCCCAGGCTCCACCCCTAAATCTCCAGGAATTTCCCAACCTGGGCTTGGCAACCCACCCTCTTTGCAAGGCGGCTGTGATAAGGAGAGCAGACCAGGGAGCATCCTACGTCCCTACGAAAGGAGGAGAGTAGGTAGGGCTGCCAACCTCCAGGTGGTGGCTGGAGATCTCCCAGGATTACAACTGATCTCCGGGCGACAGAAATCAGCTCACCTGGAGGAAACGGCTGCTTTGGAAGGTGGACTCTATGGCATTATACCCCACTGAAGTCCATCCCCTCCCCAAAGCCTGCTCTCCTCTGGCTCGCCCCCCCCCCCAAATATCCAGATATTTCCCAACCTGGAGCTGGCATCCCTAAGAGCAGCCCCTATCAAGATAGTAAAAAGCCCAGTAGCACCTTTAATAAACCTGATTGTAGCATAAGCTTTCAAGAAACACAGGTCTCTTCATCAGATATATTTGACCAAGAGAGCTGTGTTTCTCGAAAGCTTATGTTACAATGAAGTTTATTAGTTTTAAAGGTGCTACTGGGCTTTTTACTATTTTGCAGCAACACAATTACACGGCTGACTCCTCTGGATCCCTTCCAAGACGGCTCCTCACGCTCTCGGCAGCACGGCTCAGTGACGAGCGGTCCCATCACCCTCCGCGCGCTCTGCGCCCACACCCTCCCCACCAGCCACCGCCGTTGTGAGCAGCACTCGTGGACAACTAGGCCTGCCAAATCTCGGCGGGGGATCTGCATGTCTTTGCAGAATCCTTGCCGCAGGGACGGCAAGACGTGTTGCACCGCCGTCGCCAGGACATGACGCTATGCGTTGCTCTGGCAATGGGGCTGTTTGGAGCCCCGTTGCCAGAGCGACGTATCGCGTTAGATCCTGGCGACGGCGGGTACAACGCATCTCGCTGTCCCCGCGGCAAGGATTCTGTGAAGACCTACGATCCCTCACCGCGACTTGGCAACCCTATGGACAACCAATAAACCGGCTGTGGAATCTGCCCCTGCCGACCAGTCCTCCAGAGGGGCAGACAAATCGAAGGAGAAAGGACAGGAAGCCTTCTAAGGAGGAGACAGGAAGCTGCGAGCCAGAGTACCCGATTCGCTGCTGCTCAATCAGGTCGAGTCTCTCCGCCCGCCGGATGACCTCCAGGATGACCCCCATCTCCTGGCCACTGAGGGCTTGCGTCTTGCGTTGCCGGTCAGTCTGGAAGGTGTGCACAGACCAGCCCGTCTGAAGCCTAGGAGGGGGGAAAGGGGAGGAGGAAGAAAACAGCTTTGGAGCGTAGGCCAGCAACTGCTTCTTTAAAAGAAACCTAAACTTGCGTTGTTCGGGGGACCGATCTGCAAAGGCATTCTGTGTGCCTCTCCCCAACACAAAACACAGGAATGTCACCTCAGCAGAGCTGCCAGCCTCCCAGTGGTGGTAAACAGCAAAATACAACCATGATATAATAACTATATCTTGGCAAGGAGTCATCCTTGGATGTTTGGTGGAATGTTTATAAACAGAAACTTCTATTGATTGTGAAAAGGTGAAGGAGTTGCACTAAGCATTGATAATACAAAGATATAGTTATTATATCACAGCTGCATTTTGCTTACCATTCCAACCAGTGATCTCTCTTACTTTTAAGCCTCCAGGTGTTGGCTGAGGATCTCCCCCATTACAACTGAACAGGTGACAGAGATCAGCTCACCCAGAGAAAACAGCTGCTTTGGAAGGTGGGCTCTATGGCACTGTGCCCCACTGAAGCCCCTCCCCTCGCCTTACCCCGCCCTCCTCAGGCGCCACCCCCAAAATCTCCAAATATTTCCAAATCGGAGTTGGTAGCCCTACATATCAAATCACACTGAACAATTTACATTTTATCTGTCAGGCTTAGGGTTTATATGGTACTACTGAGCAACATGCCGTAGTTCACAGTCATTGCACGTATTATCCTATTGTCCACATTTAGAAAGCTTTTTTTCCCCCTGGAGGGTTCAAAATAGAACTCGAGGGCATCCAAGGAAGCTGATGGGCAGTAGGTTCAGGACAGACAAAAGGAAATACTACTTTACACAGAGAGTGATTAAAATGTGGAATTCGCTGCCATGGGATGTAGTGATGTCCACAGCTTTAAATAAACATCTTTAAAGGGGGATTAGAGAGATTCATGGAGGATAAGTCTATCAGGGGCCACCCGCCATGGTGATTGAGGGGAACTCCCACATTCAGAGGCACTAAACCTCAGCATCCCAGAGCCAGGAGGCAACATAAAGGGAAGGCCTCAGCCTCTATATTATTTTAATTATTCAATTTATATGCTGCCTCTCGCTGCCAAATGGTCTTGAGACAGCTAACGACAGCTAAAATATTAACAGACTTCCACTTAAAACATAATACAAATAAAACTAAAAGGGCAGCTCACATAAACAGACCCAACGAATGGAAAGCGAAATGGAAGAGCTCTGCTCTGCAGGCCCTGTGGAACTTAGATAAGTCCTGCGGGGCCCCAGTACCATCTGACAGCTGGTAGGATGGGGCCACCACACAGAAGGCCCTCGTCCTGGCAGGTGCAAGGCGAAAATGGACTATTGGTCTGATCCGGCATGACTCTTCTTATATTCTTAAACATGGGACTTTAGATCAAGAGCCAAGAGGACACCCTTGTGGCTAAGTTTTTAAAAAATCTTGGGAGAAGGCACCTCGAAAGCCTCCCCGCCCGCAGCCTGCAAAACAATCCCCCCCCCATCTACCCACTCAGCAGGCTGAAAGGAGGCTCCTCTGGACACGTACTTGGCCCTCAGAGCCAGCTGCCTGTCGTTCGGACACACCCACTGGTCATTTCCGTTGCCAAAAATCGTGTCAGCCATGGCGAGGGGCCTCAGAGGTGACAGGTCGCATGAAGCCTGCAGAAAAGAGAAAACGCGTGAAATTGCTTTGCAACGGCCACCAAGATCCCCACCTCACGGAACGGCCTGCCTGAGGAGGCCAGGAAGGCTCCCGGTTCTCCCCGCTTTCTGAAAACGACACAAAACTTAATTATTCCTTTTTTACACAGGTGGTGAGTCTGCACCGGAGCAAAACGGTTCAGAAGGATTCTTCGACAATGCAACAGGGACTGTGGACTACACTACTGTGTACAGTAGATACTTTTCCTGCACGCATTAGCCTACTATGTAATTTCTGCATATCACGTTAATTGAGTTTAATTCATATACAGATGAAGTGTGCCTGCACACGAAAGCTTATGCCCAGAATTAAACCTTGTTGGTCTTCAAGGGGCCCCACTGGACTCCGACTTTGTTCTATAGCTTCAGACCAACATGGATACCCACCTGAATCTATATCACACTAATCGCTATACTTTGTTTCAGCTTTGTCTCAGATTTCTGCTTGCTTTCAGATATCTGCAGGCTAGGGTTACCAAATCCAGGTTGGGAAATCCCTGGAGATTTTGGGAAAGACCTTGGAAAGAGCAGGGTTTGGGGAGAAGGTGGAACTTCCGTAGGGTATAATGCCATAGACTCCACCCTAGGCTTGCCAAGTCCCCCCGGGGGGCGGGGAAACCCCCACCCCAGAGGCCCGTTCCCCGCCGCTGCCGGATTGGGTCCCGGGGGGAACTCCACCCTGACGTGACCATCACCAGGAAGTGACGCGACCACGCCGGGCACGCTGGGGGCGGGGCCACGGTCATCTGAGGAAAAACTATGTTTTTCCCTCGGATGGTCGTGGCCCCGCCCCCAGTGTGCCCAGTGTGGTCACGTCACTTCCTGGTGACGTGGATGCGGTGCGCGCGGGGTCCAGGATCAACATGGGAGTCCCCCACTTCAGGATAAGGTATGACTTGGCAACCCTACTCTACCCTCCAAAGCAGTCATTTTCTCCAGGGGAACCTATCTCTGTAGTCTTGAGAGTAGTTGTAATTCCAGAAGATCTCCAGGTCCCGCCTGTAGATTGGCAACCCAACTGCAATCCTAATCCTATTACGTTGCTTACTGGATGTCCCATCCAGATGACTGTGTAGACTTACGCTAGTTATCGGCCTTGAGTTTTGGTGAGAAAAGCGGACGAGAAACTATGTAATTTTTTAAAAAATACACCCCCTGCTCAAAAAACCACTTTGATGCCATGTGCCACAGCAGAAGAGGAGAATGCCTCCCTGTCCAGGGCCATCTCTCTGGAGTAGGAAGAGTCTGGACAAGACAGAAATGGTCCCAATGCCTGCCCCGCCTTCAGAGTGAAGTTAGTTCAGGCAGAGATGAGAAATTTCCCTCAGCCGGCTCCTCTGTTAACACGGAGGTTGGACTCCGAGCTTCACACTCTCAGACATAATACTCTAACCACTGGCTCTCCAATTGGGTAGCCAAACAACTTTGTTCTCCACAACCTCCCCAGCAGGTTTAACCATGCCAGATAATTCAATCCTCCATGTGCGCAGGCAGTCTACCCCCAAGTACCAGATGCTGGAGGCAAAACCCCACAGGAGAGGCCATCAGCCTTCATGGCCTCCTTATGGGCTTTGGGGCAACATCTGGGTGGGCCTGATCCAGCAAGGCTCTAAAGGGATCCAACCCCCTGCTTATTCCAGCAGTTTTAAGACGACGTGGGCACATGGGCACAGCACCAAGAGCGACAAGACTCACCCCGAAGGGACTCCGCGACCCACCAGGCGCCTCTCCGCAGCTGTTCACAGGAGCCTTCCTATTAAATATTTAGAAGCACATGTACATTCAATATTTGTATTTCCTGGAAGCGACATTTGCCAGCAAGTAAATATAGATTTGGAGGAGGCAGCCTGAGAAAAACAGCGGGCTGTACACCCAGTGCATGTCAAAAAGCCAGTTTTGCCGCCCTCCGAACCCGAAAAACAGCCCGTGCCAGTTGCCACAAACCTCTTTATCTTTCCCTCGCAGCCTCGGCCTCTCCTTTGGCGAGCTCCCCTCACTATCTGCTTTCTCACACGAGGCTCCGCAAACTGGGGAAAAGGCAGCTCGGCCTTGGTCCCTCTGCCGACTGGAAAAATACGGGGACAAACACAGCTGCCCGCCTGCCCGGTTCCCAGCAGCAGAAGATGGGAGCGCAAATACCCACTCGCTCCGACTCTGAAGAGCAGAACACACTTTCCACCCAACGCAAAGAGTCAGGAATGGCATGCCAACCTTCCCTCGAGCTTCTCTTTTTTAAAAAAGAAATGCTAAACACAACGGAAGAGTGGAGAGCCAGGCCAGAATATTTCTCTGCTCCCTACGAAGGCAAGTTCGGAGCAGGGGCAACGCGTCCTGCAAAGCACAATAATGGGAGTTTTAGGGTCAGAATCTGGAATCCTGAACCCATTGAAACAACACACCAAATCCTAGTCTTCGGTAGCATAAAGGTAGGCTGCAGAGGGGGGGGGGGATTGCGATACAAACCCTGGGGGAAATTTCAGAAAGGGGAGACCAATCAAGACTTAGCTGATATTTCAGCAATGCAGAAAGAGAAATGAGGGATGGATCCCCAATCCGGATCCTGACTGAAGCCGGCATAGAGAACAGGGGTGCCATCCTCCAGGTGGGACCTGGGGATCCCCTGGAATTACAGCTCATTGCCAGACTACAGAGGTCAGTGCTCCTGGAGAAAAGGGATGCTTTGGAGAATTCTACCCCACTGAGGTCCCGGTCCTCCCCAGGCTCCACCCCCAAATCTCCAGGAGTCCCCCAACCTGGATCTGGCAACCCTAACCCCTCCCATCCCCCTCTGATGGCCCGTGGGGACCTGGCTACCCTAACGGAGAAAGAGTTTTTCAACCTATCTGCCCACACCCTTTCCCTGGTCTGAAATGACCAGGGCAGGGCATGGGGATGCCATCTGACCCATGAATGCACCATTGTGCACCCCCAGGACTGCTGGGGGCCAGAAAAATGGGGGGGAGGCCGAAGACTCTTCTTCACCTGTGCCACAATCACAACCTGAACCAGGTGCCAAAAACACAGTGGACTTGGGGAGAACTAGGTTGGGGCCCCAGACCCAACCCCGTGCAGACCACAATGTGTGAAGAGATGTGCCACAATCACAGCCTCTATAGGGCACAGGAGAAGAAGAGAAAGAGGGTTTATACCCCACCCTTCACTACCCAAGGGAGTCTCAGAGCGGCTTACAAGCTCCTTTCCCTTCCCCTCCCCACAACAGACAACCTGTGAGGCAGGTGGGGCTGAGAGAGCTCTTTCGAGGACTGCCCTTGAGAGAACAGCTCTGAGAGAACTTGTGACTGACCCAAGGTCACACCAGCAGCTGCAAGTGGAGGAGTGGGGAATTACGGGGAGACAAGAGTCACTGGAAAAGACAATAATGCTAGGAGAGGTTGAAGGCAGCAGAAGAAGAGGAAGACTCAACATGAGATGAAGAGAAGATGAAGAAAATAAGAGATTGGATTTATACCCGGCCCTTCACTCAAAGTCTCAGAGCGCTTTACAATCCCTTTCCCCTCCCCACAACAGAGGCAGGTGGGTCTGAGAGAGCTCTTTCGAGGACTGCCCCTGAGAGAACAGCTCTGAGATAACTGTGACTGATCCAATGTCACACCTACAGCTGCATTTGGAACAGTGGGGAATCAAACCCAGTTCTCCCACATTAGAGTCCGTGCTCTTAACCACTACACCAAACTGGCACAGCAGCTGCAGTCGGCGGAAATAAGCAGAAATAAGCCCCTTAATGCCAAATTCCCCCCATTAAATTCTTGATCAACCCTTTCCCGCTTGTGCACATTGCTGCATAAGCGTCTCTGTTCTGCCCATTTTCCACTGCTGGGATTATGGGTCTGTCTCTTTTGCTATGCAAAGGATGCCCAAATAGTGGTAACAGTGTGAATTTACCAGGAAACCACTGGCACGAGGAAACAGAAAACAGTGCAGGGGGTTTGCCACAAGGAAGAGGCAAGAACGGAAAGCCAGGGATTCTCAAGTTGGAAAGAGCAGCACAACTGGGTAGCATCCAGAGGTTCCCCCATGACTGCGCGACCTTCTCACGAGGGCAGGAAAGGAGACAAAACGCCACCCGCCCAGTTTCCTATTCCCAGCCGTTTTGTTATCATTATTTTCCTGTTCCTTGTTTCACCTCCACACAGCAAACAGGGGCAGATGACGTCACCCGCTGTTTCCTTAACCCTCTGAACTTGACATTCCCAGGACAGACGGCACGGCTCGGTGGGGGGGGGTGTGGAGCGGTGAGAACGCTGCAGGCAGCTCTTGTGACTCTGATCTCTGCAAGATGCCGCTTCTTGCTGAAGCTTCCCGCCAGAACGAACGAGACTCGGAGCGCCCCCTGACTTCCATTTTCCAGATGGAGAACTGACATTAGGTGTCAAGTTATTTTGTGTGCGTGCATTTATGCACCATCAAGGTGCTTCCAACTTACGGCGGCCCCTATGAACTAATGCCTTCCCACACACCCTGTCGTGAACAGCCTGGCTCAGGTCTTACAAACTGAGGGCCATTGTGGCTTCCTTGATGGAGTCAATCCACGGAGAACCAGTTTGGTGTAGTGGTTAGGAGCGCGGACTCTAATCTGGGAAAACTGGGTTTGATTCCCCACTCCTCCACATGCAGCTGCTGGTGTGACCTTGGGTCAGTCACAGTTCTCTCAGAGCTGATCTCTCAAGAGCAGTCCTCAAAAGCGCTCTATCAGCCCCATCTACCTCACAGGGTGTCTGTTGTGGGGAAGGGAAGGGGAAGGAGAGATTGGCTTTATACCCCATGGCCCTTCACTACCCAAAGGTGTCTCAGTGCGGTTTACAAACTCCTTTCCCTTCCCCTCTCCACAACAGACAGCCTGTGAGGTAGGTGGGGCTGAGAGAGCTCTGACAGAAACTGCTCTTTTTCAAGGACAGCTCTTATCAGAACTATGGCTTGCCCAAGGTCATCCAGCCAGGTGCAAGTGGAGGAGTGGGGAATCAAACCCAGTTGTCCCAGATTAGAGTCCTCGCACTTAACCACTACACCAAACTGTCTCTCTTGTCAGATTGTCAGCTGCTCTGAGACTTCGAGTGAAGGACGGGTTATAAATCCAATCTCTTATTTTCTTCATCTTCAACTCATGTTGTGGGTCTTCCTCTTCTCCTGCTGCCTTCAACCTCTCCTAGCATTACTGTCTTTTCCAGTGACTCTCGTCTCCCCGTAATGTGACCCAAGTCCAATAACCGCCATTTGGTCATTTTAGGCTGCGATCATTCGCACAATTAGCCCCAACATAGGCGCAAATGCTGGGTGGATTTAAAAGGTGCGATCAGACACAAACATCTGGGAAGCGCCCCGCACCCGTCGGCATCCCGTGTTGCTCTGCCGCAGAAGGACAGTAAACAGGCACCAGGGAAAGTCCGGTAGCAAATGGGTCGCTATGGGCCACGGATGGACTTTCCCGTCTGATCGCTCCAGCGCGCTCTCATGGCGTTGGGATGGTCTGACACACACACCCTTCTCAGTATGCACAGCATCGCACACTCCATAGGGCTCCATAGGGAGCCCTCAATGCAGAGGTGCGATTCACTGATTCCTTGTTTAAGTGCATTGGAAACCTGACTCACCCGCGGTTGCGTCTGATTACGCCGTGGCACCAAAGGACTGTGTGGTCATGCAACTGCGGGTCAAATTCCTCTGGAAGGAATAGCCTCGCTTCCCCCACACACACCCGTTTTATCTGGTGCGTGTGACCGCAACCTTAGTTTCTAGGGAGAATTCAGCCTTGATTTGATCTAGAACCCGCTTATCTGCCTTTCTTCTTGTTGTTGTTCAGTTGCACAGTCGAGTCCGACTCTTCGTGACCCCATGGACCACATCACGCCAGGCCCTCCTGTCCTCCATTGTCCTCCGGAGTCTGCTTAATTTCATGTTCGCTGCCTCGATAACACTGTCTAAACATCTCATCCTTTGCCGTCCCCTTCTTCTTTGACCTTCCGTCTTTCCCAGCATCGGGGTCTTCTCCAGTGAGGGCTCCCTGCTCATTTGGTGGCCAAAGTATTTGGGCTTCGGCTTCAGTATCTGGCCTTCCAGGGAACAACAGTCAGGGTTGATTTCTTTTAGGATTGACTGATCTGATCTCCTTGCCGTCCCGGGGACTCTCAAGAGCCTTTCTTACACTTAGATAAATGAAATAACTAAATTTACTTAATTAAGCATGAAATAAATGCCCTGCCTTTCTATCTTGGCGTGGGGGGGGCAATGCGGCCTTTTTAGGAGCCCCCCTCCCCCAGGCGCTGACCAAACCTAGAGCTGTTTAGGAGGGTACATCTTCTGCTCCCCACCCCCCAGGCATAACCTGGATTGAATAATAACGCTGGCTCAAAAATGATGGTCACAGTCACAGAACAGACCGCAAAAAGAAGAAAGAAACTCTGAGGCAACTGCGCTAGATGATATTTCAATAATAATCACAAAATTATACAAAAATGTGTGCAGAAAATTATATAAATACAAGAAAGAAGACCCGCGAAACTCGCGGGGGGGGGCAGGGGAGCTTCAAACTGAGCTGACGGAGGAGGAACCAACAGGAGCAGGTAAGCTCTCCCGCCCCCATCCTGCCGGTTCCTCCATGTCCTCCACCACCACCCCGTTCCTTCCCCCCCAAGCGAGGGCCAGCAGCTTGCAGCCGCCCGGGACTCGCGGCCGCCCGCACCCGCCCTCGCCCCGGACGGCTGGCTGGCTCCAAGACGGCGTCGGCGAGCCCGGCTGCTCCCCCCTCCCAAGTGAGGCCGGCTGCTCCCCCACCCCAGCCGGCTGGCTTCGAGGCGGCGACGGTGGTGGCGAGGCCGGCTGCTTCCCCCCTCCCAAGCGAGGCTGGTGGTGAGGCCGGCTGCTCCCCCCGCCCTCGCCTCAGCTGGCTGGCTTTGAGGTGGATCCAACTCATTTTACCATTGTTTGTTCTGAGTAATCCTTGATTGGTAGGATAGCCATCCCAGGGAGAATGGGTCCTAGTATGGAACAAAAACAAAGAAAAAAACAAAAGGGATGGGCAGATTGGGCAATGAACAACCAGTAAAAAAAAAAAGGTGAGCATGGTTTACTGGAAAAAATTATTAACTACCCTCCCTCAAAGCTGTGCTCTACAAAATCGAAAACACTTCATATAGCCCTAAATTTAAATGAAGCATGATCCATGTAAAAAGGACACTTTGCCCAAAGGTGAAATAATAGTGACCGAAGGAAAAGCAAATAGATACTCACCATTGTTAAGCATAGACAAGAGGGTTAACAGCCAGGTAAGTTGCGGAGGCCCCCCCCCAGTCCAAAACAGTCCAGTGGCACCTTTAAGACCAAATTTTATTCAGGTACAAGCTCTCCCTCCTCTGTGAGGACAGATCTGCACGTTCCCCACCCCCAAATAGCTAGCAATCCCAAACAGTCCAGTGGAGCCTGAGGGGTGGGTGTTGCCTTCTGACACACTTCCGGTGATGTCAGGGGGTGTGGCATATGCAAATGAGTTATGCTAATGAGTTATGCTAATGAGCTCCTGCACCTCTTTTTCTATGAAATTACCCCTGCTTATTAGTTTCAGAACTGATTGCTGTCTCCGTGTGATTTTGTCAG